AATAAAATATTTCATTAACCTTTATTTGTCGGCTGGTGGGTTTCCCAAACCTTTAAATCGATTTATCTCCGTTAATATGGCTCTAATCGCGATTTGGGGGGTGTCCAGATCGTCGAAATTTTTATACCCGGATTTCCCAGAATAAAATATTTCATTAACCTTTATTTGTCGGCTGGTGGGTTTCCCAAACCTTTAAATCGATTTATCTCCGTTAATATGGCTCTAATCGCGATTTGGGGGGTGTCCAGATCGTCGAAATTTTTATACCCGGATTTCCCAGAATAAAATATTTCATTAACCTTTATTTGTCGGCTGGTGAGTTTCCCAAACCTTTAAATCGATTTATCTCCGTTAATATGGCTCTAATCGCGATTTGGGGGGTGTCCAGATCGTCGAAATTTTTATACCCGGATTTCCCAGAATAAAATATTTCATTAACCTTTATTTGTCGGCTGGTGGGTTTCCCAAACCTTTAAATCGATTTATCTCCGTTAATATGGCTCTAATCGCGATTTGGGGGGTGTCCAGATCGTCGAAATTTTTATACCCGGATTTCCCAGAATAAAATATTTCATTAACCTTTATTTGTCGGCTGGTGAGTTTCCCAAACCTTTAAATCGATTTATCTCCGTTAATATGGCTCTAATCGCGATTTGGGGGGTGTCCAGATCGTCGAAATTTTTATACCCGGATTTCCCAGTTTAAAATATTTCATAATCGTTTATTTGTCGGTTGGTGAGTTTTCCAAACCTTTAAATCGATTTATCTCCGTTAATTTGGCTCTAATCGCGATTTGGGGGGTGTCCAGATCGTCGAAATTTTTATACCCGGATTTCCAGAATAAAATATTTCATTAACCTTTATTTGTCGGCTGGTGGGTTTCCCAAACCTTTAAATCGATTTATCTCCGTTAATATGGCTCTAATCGCGATTTGGGGGGTGTCCAGATCGTCGAAATTTTTATACCCGGATTTCCCAGAATAAAATATTTCATTAACCTTTATTTGTCGGCTGGTGGGTTTCCCAAACCTTTAAATCGATTTATCTCCGTTAATATGGCTCTAATCGCGATTTGGGGGGTGTCCAGATCGTCGAAATTTTTAAACCCGGATTTCCCAGAATAAAATATTTCATTAACCTTTATTTGTCGGCTGGTGGGTTTCCCAAACCTTTAAATCGATTTATCTCCGTTAATATGGCTCTAATCGCGATTTGGGGGGTGTCCAGATCGTCGAAATTTTTATACCCGGATTTCCCAGAATAAAATATTTCATTAACCTTTATTTGTCGGCTGGTGGGTTTCCCAAACCTTTAAATCGATTTATCTCCGTTAATATGGCTCTAATCGCGATTTGGGGGGTGTCCAGATCGTCGAAATTTTTATACCCGGATTTCCCAGAATAAAATATTTCATTAACCTTTATTTGTCGGCTGGTGGGTTTCCCAAACCTTTAAATCGATTTATCTCCGTTAATATGGCTCTAATCGCGATTTGGGGGGTGTCCAGATCGTCGAAATTTTTATACCCGGATTTCCCAGAATAAAATATTTCATTAACCTTTATTTGTCGGCTGGTGGGTTTCCCAAACCTTTAAATCGATTTATCTCCGTTAATATGGCTCTAATCGCGATTTGGGGGGTGTCCAGATCGTCGAAATTTTTATACCCGGATTTCCCAGAATAAAATATTTCATTAACCTTTATTTGTCGGCTGGTGAGTTTCCCAAACCTTTAAATAGATTTATCTCCGTTAATATGGCTCTAATCGCGATTTGGGGGGCGTCCAGATGGTCGAAATTTTTATACCCGGATTTCCCAGAATAAAATATTTCATTAACCTTTATTTGTCGGCTGGTGAGTTTCCCAAACCTTTAAATAGATTTATCTCCGTTAATATGGCTCTAATCGCGATTTGGGGGGTGTCCAGATCGTCGAAATTTTTATACCCGGATTTCCCAGAATAAAATATTTCATTAACCTTTATTTGTCGGCTGGTGGGTTTCCCAAACCTTTAAATCGATTTATCTCCGTTAATATGGCTCTAATCGCGATTTGGGGGGTGTCCAGATCGTCGAAATTTTTATACCCGGATTTCCCAGAATAAAATATTTCATTAACCTTTATTTGTCGGCTGGTGGGTTTCCCAAACCTTTAAATCGATTTATCTCCGTTAATATGGCTCTAATCGCGATTTGGGGGGTGTCCAGATCGTCGAAATTTTTATACCCGGATTTCCCAGAATAAAATATTTCATTAACCTTTATTTGTCGGCTGGTGGGTTTCCCAAACCTTTAAATCGATTTATCTCCGTTAATATGGCTCTAATCGCGATTTGGGGGGTGTCCAGATCGTCGAAATTTTTATACCCGGATTTCCCAGAATAAAATATTTCATTAACCTTTATTTGTCGGCTGGTGGGTTTCCCAAACCTTTAAATCGATTTATCTCCGTTAATATGGCTCTAATCGCGATTTGGGGGGTGTCCAGATCGTCGAAATTTTTATACCCGGATTTCCCAGAATAAAATATTTCATTAACCTTTATTTGTCGGCTGGTGGGTTTCCCAAACCTTTAAATCGATTTATCTCCGTTAATATGGCTCTAATCGCGATTTGGGGGGTGTCCAGATCGTCGAAATTTTTATACCCGGATTTCCCAGAATAAAATATTTCATTAACCTTTATTTGTCGGCTGGTGAGTTTCCCAAACCTTTAAATAGATTTATCTCCGTTAATATGGCTCTAATCGCGATTTGGGGGGCGTCCAGATGGTCGAAATTTTTATACCCGGATTTCCCAGAATAAAATATTTCATTAACCTTTATTTGTCGGCTGGTGAGTTTCCCAAACCTTTAAATAGATTTATCTCCGTTAATATGGCTCTAATCGCGATTTGGGGGGTGTCCAGATCGTCGAAATTTTTATACCCGGATTTCCCAGAATAAAATATTTCATTAACCTTTATTTGTCGGCTGGTGGGTTTCCCAAACCTTTAAATCGATTTATCTCCGTTAATATGGCTCTAATCGCGATTTGGGGGGTGTCCAGATCGTCGAAATTTTTATACCCGGATTTCCCAGAATAAAATATTTCATTAACCTTTATTTGTCGGCTGGTGAGTTTCCCAAACCTTTAAATAGATTTATCTCCGTTAATATGGCTCTAATCGCGATTTGGGGGGCGTCCAGATGGTCGAAATTTTTATACCCGGATTTCCCAGAATAAAATATTTCATTAACCTTTATTTGTCGGCTGGTGAGTTTCCCAAACCTCTAAATCGATTTATCTCCGTTAATATGGCTCTAATCGCGATTTGGGGGGTGTCCAGATCGTCGAAATTTGTATACCCTGATTTCCCAGTTTAAAATATTTCATTATCGTTTATTTGTCGGTTGGTGAGTTTTCCAAACCTTTAAATCGATTTATCTCCGTTACTATGGCTCTAATCGCGATTTGGGGGGTGTCCAGATCGTCGAAATTTGTATACCCGGATTTCCCAGAATAAAATATTTCATTAACCTTTATTTGTCGGCTGGTGGGTTTCCCAAACCTTTAAATCGATTTATCTCCGTTAATTTGGCTCTAATCGCGATTTGGGGGGTGTCCAGATCGTCGAAATTTTTATACCCGGATTTCCAGAATAAAATATTTCATTAACCTTTATTTGTCGGCTGGTGGGTTTCCCAAACCTTTAAATCGATTTATCTCCGTTAATATGGCTCTAATCGCGATTTGGGGGGTGTCCAGATCGTCGAAATTTTTATACCCGGATTTCCCAGAATAAAATATTTCATTAACCTTTATTTGTCGGCTGGTGGGTTTCCCAAACCTTTAAATCGATTTATCTCCGTTAATATGGCTCTAATCGCGATTTGGGGGGTGTCCAGATCGTCGAAATTTTTATACCCGGATTTCCCAGAATAAAATATTTCATTAACCTTTATTTGTCGGCTGGTGAGTTTATATTCTGTAGACATTTATCTAATGTCGAAATTATTCTAAGAAATGAAGAAAATTAAGTGCATATACGAGCGTCAATTTTGACATAAAATAGTGTCATAATAGACGTGAAATTCAGCTCAATCGAACGTACTTTTCGTCGACCAACGAACTTTTCAGTCTCGGAGCTTTTAATATTACATGACATGTTTGTTTACGTCTCATCCTTTATGTCAAAGACGGATTCCAGCACATGTAAAAGTAGTTATTTCTAAGTGTGCAGCCGTGAAACATCGGTGAGTAGACGGTATAACCCACCGCATAAATTAAGGGATTACTGTTAACCAATTACGGTATGCTGATTGTTCGACAACTATTCTGTTAAAATTAGCCTAAAACAAATTCGCATAGTAGACATTTTAGCACACACATATTCCAAAGACTTCAACGCCCGGCTAGCGGCGAACCACCACGAACCCCAAATTCCCATATGACCGTAACCGTGCACATGAAGTGTTATCTCACCGCAAAAGTTTTCCTCACCATCACATCATCTATCTCTCAACTAACTGTCATCTCACGCGGCTCCAATGCTTGTTTTTCTCCTCGCTCTCGCTCTCATCCAGCCACATCTCACCGAGTACCAAAAATTGATAAAACTGCCAACCCCCAATCGAATCAGTTTCAGTCTGCCCGCAATAGCTCGCGACGTAGGACGTAGTAGCAGTGCATTTCCAAAGCCAAAAACCGTGCTCTTTCTCATTTGGTAGGCCGATCTCCTACAGCACAGCACACGTGAGAGTGTGACCGTGCGCGCGCGAGTGCTTTTTGATCGGAGTTCCGTGCGGAGCAAAAACTTTCACTACTTTCCCGTCGACGGCGAATCCGAACGGACGACTCACTGCGACCGGTTTTCTTGTGCAATTCCACAAACGGACGAAGCAAACTATCGGCTGCCTTTCAGTAAGGAACGAGACAGTCCGGATCGGCTGGGAAGTTGGTGCTCCCCCGAAAAAGGAAAAAAAAAAAAGAATAATAAGTGTTTGTGAAATTTGTGGTGCCTGGTGTTTGTGACTTTGAAGTGCATCGTTGAAGATCATCGTCGGTTGAAGATCAGCGCAGATTGAGATCGAAGTTCGACTTGCCGGACAAGAAGGAAAGGGCAGTGAACCTCCCTCGGCCGCCCATGGGCTCACACACTGGACACTAAGGTGAATACGATGGGGGTCGCCCTTTTGATATGGGATTTATGAATATTTATCGAGTAGCTGTGTTTTCTATTTTTGGGATGGGGTGATAAGCGCGAGCGCGTTGAGCATCGGCAGGTGGCATAGCGGATTTTGGTGGCGCGGTTTTTTTTTTATTGTCTTTCGTTTTCGTCTGGAGAGGTGGCAAAGTGGAATGCCGATGTAGAATGTGGTTGGTTGGTTGGTTGGTTGGAGGAGCTGCTGGTTGACCGATATTTGTTTTTGAAACGGTCACTAGGGACAGCTGCGATGTTTCGAAGTGAATGCGTGAGTGACTGAATGAATGAATGAATGGTGATTAGTAATAGTAATTCACCTAATTGTCGGCTTGCGTGATAGGTTCAAAGAGAAAGACTGCCTACCTGTCTGTGGTTGTTTTGGTCGTCATCCAGGATGATGATGTCAAAACGGAACTGGTGGCTATTATCTGGCATTTACAAATGGTAGAAAGCATTGCATGTCGTACTGTGTGATGTGAGATTATTTTGAATCATTAGCTTACTTTTGTGGGAAAGGCAAACAATTTCGGCAGTGTCAATGAAAGCATCATACAGTACAATGCATCATAAAGTAACTCTATTGCTACATTCCCATTCCAATAATAAAATGTGCGTTCTGATTCTCATCGAACATTAAAATTTTAATTTCGTTTTGATGCCTTTTGTAATTGACCTTGAGTACAACTATAACTCAACATTTGAAGTTCATTACACTCTACAGTACTGCTGACCTCGTTGCTTAAGTGTTACTTCTTGATCTATTTATAGCAGTCTTAATGTTCTGCGTCAATAAACTCTCTAGTTGAGCAATTAAAATAACGTACAGCTTGTTAACGATTCTTTGCCTACGTACTTATGAGCAAGAATGATAGGAAATACTGGCTTTTATCTTTTGTTGCCTTCACTGTATAATTGTGAGCTTTTATGGCAAATGGTACACGAGTTTACAGAGAATATTAAAAAAATAAATTTAAAACAACTGCTTTAGAGTAGGCATGCCAGCCATGGTAATGTGATCCTATTATTGCTGATTTTCCTATTGTGGGCATATGGCATATCCCATATACCATAATAGGTACACATCGTTATAAGAAGTGGTGTCTGCTGGTCTGTCCCTGGATAAAGAAAAATATAATTTATGCCATTAACTTAGCATTTCTGTCGGCTGATTTTATGCCAAAACATGGATTCTTTCTCACTGAGATCGATTTTCACATAATTTTCTCGTCTTCTTCTAGGCTTTTAAAGCTTCTGTAGCGGGCGTTTTGCCAGCTCTCAACTCTTTCACAGTAATTAATTGAGAGCCTAGTATAGCAACCAATTCACAATGGGGAAAACTGGACGAAAAAAAAAACATTTAATTGTATAACACTAAAATTCGCTGTTTGAAAAATATAGTTCATATCGTTATGTAGATTAACAACTTGTGGAATCCAATAAAAATGGTTTCATCCTGGGGAGGTTTAGGTTTTTTGGTTTTCCTTTTTAAAAAAAATTCCTTGAGAATAAACAAGCAAAAACTCAGGATGAAATAATTTTCATTCGATTCCGCAAGTTGTTTACGTACAGAAATGATATGAATCATATTTTTGTTTAAGCGAGTTTCGGAAATGCTAGAAAATCACAAATATTTCTACGTCCTTTTTTCCCCATTGTGCAATGCATGAATTTGAATAATGTGTGGTAAGCACAATGATGCACTATGCCCCGGGAAGTGAAGAATATTTCCAATCCCAAAAATATTTCCTTGACAGGACCCGGAATCCAGCTTGATAAAACCGTGTTTTACTGACTAAGCTATCTGACGTCCCTTATGATTATAATAATTAGTCATGATAATTAAGCTTATAGATACATAATAGTCGACCCCTTCAACCAGGAATCAATCACATTTAAGCAACAAAAAATAGGGACGACCCCGGCGTAGTGATGAAAAAACGAATCAAATTCGATACACTCACAAAAGTTCTTCCATTCCAAAGTTGAGGTATGGAGGCAGTTATTAAAAACTAAACACTTAGAAATACCTAATCTACGTGACACGTGAATCCATCTTTGACATAAAGGATGAGACGTCAACAAACATGTTATGTAAAGTTAAGTGCTCCGAGAGTGAAAAGTTCGAAAGTATGTTTGATTGCGCTGAATTTCGCGTCTTTTATGACACAATGTTATGTCAAAATCGACGCTAGTTTATGTCAGTCTTCGAGGCATCTTTCCTTATGCTTGATACGCTTTCGACTAAAGTTTGCATTTCCTTACCGTTTTTGGCTACCATAAATCGAGAAATAGTCGATGGCTATTTCCGGTAATTCCTAGGGAATCAAGAAATATTTTTTAAACATTAGCTTCCTGAAGTTTCATCCAAATTTCCCTGGAACTTCCATCTTACCTTGGAACCTTCTTCAGCCTTCGCCTCTTTTCCCGCCAGTTTTTTACACTTTCCCGGAACTTCAAGGATGCTATCAGATTTTTTTTGCCGATCCACACTAGCTGCAGGCACATTTAAGAAGTTCTGAAACTTTAGATAACCCGGGAATTTAAAAAAAAGTCCAGTGAACTCCAGTGAACTTAAGGAAACATCATAAATATTTTGGAAACTTCACAAGTCCAGGGAAATTTAATGGTTTTCATGAACTTTAGTGAAGCTCGGAGAACATCAGGACAGGTCAATTAATTAATGAAATAGCTGAAATTATAAATCAGAAACTCAGGAAATTTCCGAAAACTTCAGCAATGTCCTGAGGGGCTCATGCAAATTTAGGAAACGTAAGGGAAGTTACATGAACATTAGAACATTGGGAGAACATTTTATGCAAAGTTCTATGCTTTTTAATGGTAGTTTCGATAACTTTTAAAAATAAAAACAATCGGAAAGATCAGAGAACTTCAATGCTGATTTTACAATAAATTCAAGAAAATTGTGAGAGCACTTAAGAGATTTCGTAATCTTCAAGAAAATCCAGAAGATTAGATATATTTCGGTAGTTATTTTAATCAGGGAAGTTCCGAGCACTTCCTAGATGACCAGAGAACTCCTAAACAGCCTCCGAATTCAGGAAAATTACAAGAACTTTCAAGGAATTTCGAGCAATTATGGAATATTCCTAAGTGCATTTCAGGAATGTTCCGAAAACTTCAGGAAAATTGCGGAGTGTTCAGGGATGTTTTATGAATATCAAGAAAATCTCTTTCTTTCAGAATTATGTCCTTGTTTCTTTCGACTGTTCCGTAAGCGCTCTGGCTTCCGATTTTCTTCAGATATTTCTTTCAATCTACCTTAGAAAATTTCTGCCAGCGTCTCCAGGAAGTTTCTTTCGTTTTATCCAGGAAGTTCAATTAATTATCGCAGAAATTAATTTTTTTTGTTCGACTTCTATTGGAAGGTTTTTCAGAGCTTCTTCTGGCTTTCCCTGGAAATGGCTACTTCTGAAAACTTACTTCCGGATTCCGAAACATTTCTGGCTTCCTGTAGATGTGACATCCGATTTTTTTTCCGATAGTTTATTTAAATTTTCACCACAAGTTTCTCAATTCGTTTCTCGGAAATTTTCCTTATGTTTTTACAACTTTTCTTTGAACTTTCCTCGTACTTCATCCAGGAGAGCTTCTTTCGTCTTTCTCTGGACATTTTTTCGGCTTCGTTCAGAAACTAATTCAAACATTCCCCGGAGTTTTCTTCCGGAATTTTCCGATCATTGCACAAAAGCTAAAATTTTGCTTTGATTAACGGCTTTCTCAGTCTTAAAACATTGCAACGACTACGATGTAATCTGCTCGACATTTTGGCCATGGGTTATGGCCGTTTACAAGTGAAAATATTGTTTGTCGTTATTGTCAATAGTTTAATCGCTGTTGTGGCTGACTTTCTATATTTTGGTTTCATTTAATGATATTTAATTGAAAAAACTACTTTCTCACAATTTTGATCTCCACATGAGAACAACGATAATTTAAAAAATTAAATTAAAAAAATTAAAGACTGTTTTAAGACTGAGAATGTCGTTAAAAAATCGCAATTCCCCTCAAGTCTCAGTCATCACCATCGTTAAAATTATCGCTTTCAAAAACGGCAAAAATATAAAATTAATCAAATACCTAGTTAAATACCGATAAATACCGATTTTTTAATACGTTTGCTACCGATAAGCTTTAAAACAATCTGGCAACGCTAGTGTAGGTACTTATTTTGACAATCTTTTTTTTTCTGAATCTGGATGAGCAAAGCACTCTATCAAAGCTTCAATTCATTCGATTGTGCAATTGATTTGAAGTAAGACTGATTAAATAAAAAAGATAATACATTGTAGAAGTTTACTGGCGGTACTCGAATATCAGTCCTATTAGGAAAATTGTCATATTTAGAAAATGACGATTAAGCTGTTAATTTGCAGCTACATCTATTAATAAAACGCAGTTCTAATGATCAAAATTGGTTCGTTACAACATGAGGTTATCGTTGGTTACATGAATACATTCATAGCAGTGGTATTTTATTAGGATACTGGGATGGGACTCATACCTCCTTATTCTTCTACTTCATATTCGCATTTCACGCGTGCTCTCAACTTAGTGTTCTAGATGCACTTCCACAGCTATTAATTATTATTTATGTGTCGTAAATCTTGTTTGTAGACCGTTTTTGTTACATTGATTATCTTAAACTCACTCAGTTTTGTCTTAATAAAATATGTAGGAAGCTTATAAATAATTTAAATACATAGTTCTCCTAGCTATCGACACGTGCAGCAGAATTATTGCTTTAATTTGGTTTTGGACATGGTAAAGTCAATAGAATCGCAATGTTTATTGTACATAGACATCATTTGGTTAATTGGCCCAAATTTGGCATAGTTCGTACGATTATAGTTTGTAGCAAATAATTGTCGATGTCGCAAATGACGTGATGGTATATAAATGTTACCATTGCAAATTCACGACGCTCTTTTAATGTTTGAATATTGA